TTCCTTAAAAACAGTTTCCACCAACTTACATGGTATCAACGTCAGACTGACTGGGCTGTAATTTTCCAGATCTCCTCTGGAACCCTTCTTAAAGATGGGAGTGACATTAGCTTCCTTCCAGTCCTCAAGAATGGAGGCAGATTTTAATTAAAGATTACATATTTTTGTCAGAAGATCCACAAGTTCACATTTGAGTTCTTTCAGAACTCTCGGATGTATGCCATCTGGGCCTGGTGAGTTATCAGTTTTTAAGTTGTCACCTCAATCTGACTCAGGTCTCTCAACACCGCTCCCGAAATCAGTGGTTCTGGAGTGGGCAAGCACTTCTCATCTTCCACAGTGAAGACAGAGGCAAAAAATGCATTCAGCGTCTCAGCCATTTCCCTATCATCCTTCAGTACTCCTTTTACCCCTTGGTCATCCAAGGGCCCCACTGCCTCCCTGGCTGGTTTCCTGCTTCTAATGTATTTGAAGAAAGTTTTATTGTTGGTCTTTACATTTTTCGCTATATGCTCCTCATACTCCCTTTTTGCCTGCCTGATCACAGACTTGCATTTTATTTGCCACAGTCTGTGTTCCCTTTTATCAGCCTCACTGAGACTAGCTTTCCACTGCTTAAAGGAATCCTTCTTACCTTTCACAGCTTCCATTACTTTGTTTGTTAACCATGCAGGCACAAATACCTATTTGTGCCTTTCCTAACCTGCGGTATATATTTTTTCTGAGCTTCTAGGATCATAGTTTTAAATAGTTTCCAAGCTTCCCCAATGGTTTTGACCCTTTCTACTTTTCCTTTAGTTTCCTCCTCACATGTCCCCTCATATCAGAGAAGTTACCCCTTTTAAAGTTAAAAGTGGTTGTGTCAGTCTTTTTGGGCAATTTTTGGGCAACTTTTGGGGCAATTTGCCTTGAGCCAGTTCGCCAGGCAAGGCGGGATACAAATTGAAAATAATAAATAAATAAATAAATAAATAATTTATACAAATATTGAACTCCATAACATTATGGTCACTGTTCCCAAGCACTGCAATCACTTTTACATCTCTTACCAGGTCTTGGGCATTCTTAAGACCAAATCCAGGATTGCCTCTCCCCTGGTAGGTTCTGTGACCATCCGCTTCATAGCACAGTCATTGAGAGTGTCTAGAAACTCAATCTCTTTTTCTCGACTAGAACACATATTGACCCAATCAATGTGTGGGTAGTTAAAATCACCTATTACGACACAGTGTTTTTTGTCTAGCCACTATTTTTAATTCATTCATCATTTTATAATCCTCCTCTATCTTTTGATCTGGTGGGCAATGATAAACTCCCAGTGTTAAGCTTCCTTTTGGGCCCACAATTTCAATCCATAGCACTTCCAGAAGCGAATCCAATTCTCTTACCCTCTTCTTTTTTTAACATTTTTTTATTTTCTTAACAAACATAAAATTGGGGTATAGCATTTCAAATCTTTCTTTTCCTCTATTAAACTGCCTCATACAATATCTAGAGCTATATCATTTTTTCACCTACTGATCATATAATATTTGCAAATATATAGATGCACAGTTTCTTTAATTCTACAGATATAGGTTTTGTCTAAGCATTTTGTTAAGTTCTTTCTTTGGATATGTAAAAAGGCATAATTCATTATTTTCTTCTGAATATTAATGTAATGGTCTTACTCCATTATCAGTCTCAGAAATTCCCTCAGAAATTTCCCATCCCTTTTGTAGTTTTCCTTTTCTTCTTGATTTTCTGATTTCTCCTATTTAAAACTCAAGTCTTAATTCTGTGTCTTTTCCCCTTATAAATATAGAAATCTTCTGAGTATAAACATCTGTACTCAATCTTTGGAATAGTTTATGGATCCAAGTGTTGGTTTCTTTTGTCTCTCTGAGGTGACATGTGACTCCTTATTTTCGAAATGTCATCACCAATGGCTCTTTTATAAAGTCTCTGATGCACATTTATAGAAGTTTTGTTTCTCTTTATAGGCGCAGACTCCATTTTGTGAATCATGTCATCTTGATTGTATCTGAACTGTCTCTTTCTTTCTTAGTTTGTTGCATAAGCATTTCCGTTTCATCTTGTGTAGCGTAAAAAACTTCTTTGACTGCCTTTTTTACAGCTGCGATTACTGTGTTTTGAATTAGACTATGGAGGTCTTTTAAGGAGACCTGTGATCATTTGATGCTTGTAAGTTCCGCTGTATCTGAAAATAAAGCCTCTGGCACCGTTTGAAGAGTCTATCTGTGCCATCCGTGTTTTCAACAACGTGTTAAAACCAAAGAATCTCTAGAAATATTTTCCAAGAAAGTTTTACAATAACATGGCTTCTAATGAGCATATATCAACAATTTGTTATAGTCATAACACAAAGACAATACCAACGTAAGTCGGGGATGCTATCTATTATTTAAATTTTACGGTCAGAACAAAATGGAGTTTTGTAGTTTCAGTAAAGAAAAACATAAATTGTTATGGGAATGTAATAAGTGTAAAGATCAGAGTAAGATTTAGTTTTCTTTTTCCCCCTTAAGAGATCATGTTTTAATATTCCATTTATTTAAAGTATAAATCCTAGTCCTTATTTCAGCAGCTTTGGTTTAATGCTTTAAAACATCTTCATGCTGTTCCAGCTGCTTTCTTTTTTTCTCCAGACAAGGGGGGGAAAGGGGGGGAGATTCTGTTTCTAGTTCACTAAGATTCAGAGTCAAGTTCAACTAGTTTCCCTCCAACTTTATATTTTATATTCCACAAAGTACCGTCTTAGACAAGATCTATCTCTTTGTTTTCTTTGCCCAAGAGGTCGTTTGAAAAGATGCTTTAAATCCTTTTTGTAGCCACTGGGAGGAAAGGAGGGGGGCAGGAAGTGAAGTCTTTACCCCTCCATTCCAGTGTCTTTTTAAACTTTAAAGGGGTTTCACGATAGATGATAGACTCTCTGTTGCTGCTTTACAATGTACTCACAGTGTTGTGCTTCATCGATGGTATGGATGAGGTTCCAGTTTCTCCTGTCCTGTCCATGTCTGACAAGGGCGCTCTCGGTCGGCTCCTGCATCGGGGCAAATTTGGACCCTGCGCCCACTTGCTGCCACTTGCAGGGGGGGGTCCAAATCAAGCCCCTTGCAATGAGCTCCTTTGCGGGGAGCTCATTGGAATTTGGGAACCCTCAAATCTTCTTAAAGGAGCCATTGATTCGGCCAGCACCTGGGAGCTCTTCCCAATGCGTTTGTTCCCGCCTTGCCGAACCCCTTTACCCTCTCAATCTTATTGGACTGTATACCCTCTCTGACATACAGAACCACCCCACCTCCAACCCTTCCCCCCCCCATCCTTCCGATATACTATATAGCTGGGAATCACCGTATCCCACTGATTTTCCTCATCCCACCAAGTTTCTGTAATACCCACAATGTCTATTTTTTTCCTCCAACACCAAGCACTCCAACTCCCCAATTGTACCTCAGACACTTCTAGCATTTGTATATAAACACTTGTAATTTCCCATACATGTTAAGCCTGCAACCTTCCTCTTGCTGCCTTGGGACCTTGTCAGGCAGTCCATATCGCTAGAGTCTGACCCACAAATCAAGCAGTCAACAAGACCTGCAAAAAATGCTTCCTGTGTATTACAGTCTAAATTCCTACAAATCATAAGAAAATCCTAGAACAAGCATACATGATCAAAGATACATCATCAACGTCGTCTCCAGATTATATAGCATTAGAATCCATTAGAAGTTTAGCAGCATATCTGAACCTGAACATATTGAGATCAGCATCCTGTTTGAATGAACTGCATTATCTTTCATGACTTGTAAAGCACTTTAAGAGCAAGAGAGCTTTTGTACCACTCTAATATTCCTGAGGAAGATCCAATTTTGAAACGTTGTTATGTAATCCGGAGATGACGTTGATGATGTATCTTTGATCATGTATGCTTGTTCTAGGATTTTCTTATGATTTGTAGGAATTTAGACTGTAATACACAGGAAGCATTTTTTTGCAAGTCTTGTTGACTGCTTGATTTGTGGGTCAGACTCTCACAACTGTTTTCTTTATACTTTTTCTCTGATTAGGTCGTGTTTGTCCACATTTGTCTTGAGTCCATATCGCTAGCCACAGTCTCAGTGGACAATTCCAATCCACCTCCCTGTAGAGAAGCAACAGCTACCCCCTCACCTCTCTGAGATGAGCCATCCCGAACTGGAGACTTTTCATCTCCTGTCGGCTTTCCCCCAATATTCAGTATCCAAAAAAGGTGGGTGGTTTGTTAAGAACAGTCAATGTGGAAAAGGCCAAAGGCCCATGAACTTTTTCTACAGCTTTCACCTGGATGCCTTCAGGCCAGCACCACCCCCCCCCCCCATAATTGCACATCTTCGAAAAAACACTGGAGGGGGCCTTGAACTGGAGGGTTCACTTGTTTAGATCCTCTCTCCCCCTAATCTGGGAGAACTGGGTTTGGTTCCCCACTCCTCCACTTGCAGCTGCTGGATGACCTTGGGCCAGCCATAGTTCTGTCAGAGCTTTTCTCTCAGGAGCAGTCCTCGAAAGAGCTCTCTCGGCCCCACCTACCTCACAGGGTGTCAGTTGTGGGGAGGGGAAGGGAAACGAGATTGTAAGCTCCTCTGAGACTCCTCTGGGTTGTGAAGGGTGGGGTACAAATCCAATCTTTTCTTATTTAATTCTCAGAGGCAGAGCAGAAAGTCAAATGTAAACAGTGAGGAAATCATTCTCTGCCACTTTTTCCCTTTATGACCAGGGTCCAGCCTACCTAAGGGTAATAGAAGAACAGCTTTACTGGAGGGCCTGGAAGGAATTGCACACCCATTAATGACCAGGGCCTGATTGGTGGTTTGGCTTCTTGTGCGGCTCCCGATTAGACCTCTTTCTTTATTACAGCAGGAAGAAGCCACTAAAAATATTTAGAGAGTAGATTTAAATTCAACAGCAGATCAGACTTCTATATGTGGGTTCTAACAGGATCTCTCTCTTTATTCCAGCAGGGAATGATCAGAGGAACGAGGAAGATGAGGAAGATGAGGAACTTCATCACCTATTGCCAGATGGAGTCAAGAATGAAGACTGGAGAGGAAACTTGAGGAATCAAGGCAGACATAAGAGGCAAAAAGGAAGCCACATGATTGAGAAGACTGATAAAATCATTTCTTGCCAAGTGGGGGATTTCCATGAAGTAATTCACATGGTGGAAGAAACAGGCAAGTGCTTGGAGTGTGGAATGAACTTCTCAGATCAAATGCAGTATCATATCCATTTACAAATGCACAGTGGAAAGAAGACCCATCAATGCCTGGAGTGTGGAAAGAGCTTCCTTTGTAAAGCAGAACAAATTAGACATCTAAGAACACATACAAGAGAGAAACCTTACAGCAGTTCGCAGTGTGGCAAGACCACCTCAGGTAAATCAGACTTTGTTCATTCAGGAGGGAAACCATTTATCTCCTCAGAGGGTGGAAAAAAGACATTCTTTGATGGGAAAAGGGATAATATACATTTTCGAAAGCACAACATAATGAAGGCCCATAAATCTTTTCAGTGTGGAAAGGACTTCAAATACAGATCACAGCTCCTTGTGCACCAAAAAATCCACAGAGGGGAGAAATCTTCTGAGTACACAGAGGGTGGAAAGTGGTTGAGTCAGAGTGGTGCTCTTCAACAACATCAAAGAACCCACACAGAGGAGAAACCCTTTGAATGCTCAGAATGTGGAAAGAGATTCAGTCGAAGTGGCCATTTTCAGGTCCATCGAAGAATCCACACAGGGGAGAAACCTTTTGAGTGCTCAGAGTGTGGAAAGAGATTTAGTAACAGTAGCACTCTTACACGGCATCAGAAAACCCACACAGGGGAGAAACCTTTTGAGTGCTCAGAGTGTGGAAAGAGATTTAGTAACAGTAGCACTCTTACACGGCATCAGAAAACCCACACAGGGGAGAAACCTTTTGAGTGCTCAGAGTGTGGAAAGAGATTTAGTAACAGTAGCACTCTTACACGGCATCAGAAAACCCACACAGGGGAGAAACCTTTTGAATGCTCAGACTGTGGAAAGAGATTCAGTCAGAGTGGCACTCTTCAGAAGCACCAAAGATCTCACACAGGGGAGAAACCTTTTGACTGCTCAGAGTGTGAAAAGAAATTCCGTACAAGTGGCCAGCTTCAACTACATCGAAGAACCCATACAGGGGAGAAACCTTTTGAATGCTCAGAGTGCGGAAAGAGATTCAGTCAGAGTAGCCATCTTCAAAAGCATCGAAAAACCCACACCGGAGAGAAACCTTTTGAATGGTCACAGTGAGGAAAAAACTTCAACTTGAGAGACCAACTTAAACACATCAGAGAACCCACACAGGAGAGAAACCTTTTGAATGCTCAGAGTGTGAAAAGAGCTTCAGGTAGAGTAGCACTTTTCAAAAACATCTAAGATCCCATGTAGCCTGTGAATAGAGCTTTTATCCTGTTTGGCACCTAAAAGGCAACCACAGACTATACAAAGCACTGAAATTATATAAAGAGGTGGAATCTACACAGAAACCTTACCCTTATTAGGAAGAAATGTTATGAATGCTAGGACTGTGGAAATAGCTCTAGCCACATTCGAAACCTCAAATACCACAGGGAGAAAGCAAGGATGGAGATGGGCTCTGTAGTTGAAGGATCAGCTGATATATCCTTTAGCATTGAGGAGTGTACCCAGAGTCACAGATCTGACTTTCATGTTCTTCACAAAATTGCTAGGATAAATGTTTAGGGACTGTCGTCTATGCTACTGTGTTCCGCTTACTGAAACTAGGATCCTACCGCGTAATTTTGGAATAATTTAATGTGTTGTGGTAAAACTTATGATTTTGCCTTAGTCCTCTTTTTAGATTTCTGGTTGGTTCTACAACCGTACTCCTATTGTGTTGTTTATTAAATGCTCCAACTTTTTGATTGTATTGACTCACTCTGTGAAATCTGCCTTGAGTCCAAATGAGAAAAGCAAACTATAAACAATGTAAATAAATATAATCTGGCTGAGGCTCCTCATCTCCCCAAGTCACACTCTCTTTAAGGCACAACCCCCAAATCTTCAGGAATGTGTCAACCTGTAACTGGCAACACTAGGAATGCCTGGACTCCATGAGACCTCCCTCAAACGCCAAAAAAAAAAAAAAAAACCACCCTGAAAAGGACCCTGACCTCTCCCCTTGGCTTTCACTCACAGAAACCCAGTGTGAAATGCTGTGGTTGCCTAACAACAGCCACTGAGGCAATCCATTTCTTAAAGCTACATTGTAAGGAAGACACCAACCTGTCGGTAACACAGCAACTTTGTATACCTGAAGGACGGCAGAAGGGGGAGGATTAACCTTGCAAGTCTTTACAGGAACTGGCCAGTACTCAGCTTTGCAAGAGCTGCACAGCTGGGATCTCTTAACTAACAACTGCACTGGAGACAGGGAGGGGAGTGGCTTAATAGGTCCTTCCAAAGATAAGATAGCAAGAGTTGTGGGGGGAGAATAATAACGCGCGTTTGGTGGGCAGGATGTTTTCCTACCTTGTGGAGTTATTGTAAGTGCTATTTTAATTACTTTTTTGTATTTTGGCAACCCCCTGAAGGACGTTTGCTTTAGCCTTAAAGCATTGTTAATTGAGGTTGCCTTTGTTGTTTTTTCGACAATAAAAGCTTTTTTTGCCTAATTTGCCAAGCCTGATTGTGGAGCCTGAAGTATTCTGACAGAGAACCCGAAGCCTGTGTCTTACATACATGTATTCCTTTCATGATGGTTGTTTTTTTTAAAAAAATCATTTTTTCCTAATATATTGTACATTTTTCTGCATCTCTGGGTAGTTTTTCAGTTTGTAGAAAGATCTGTTTTCCCCTTCACTATTCCAATCACTGCATTTAGGTATGCTCAGATTTGGCCTACTTTGCTATTATTTTATTAAAGCATGTCCCATTTTCCTAGCGTTTCAAGTCAGCTTACAGTAATAAGTTTTCAGTTAAAACCAAAAATAAGATAGTGAACCCTACATCTCTCCCCCCTTGCCCTCTTAAAAGATGCCTGCCATTCAAAAGCCCAAAAAAGACCCGGTAAACAATTAGGCCTGGCAGTTCCTTCGGGAGATCTTCAGGGAGCCCTGCTAAATGGTGGATCTCAGATTGGTTGTCTGCCATGATATCAGCTTTTTGGTTATTGTGAGAATGCTCCTGAGCTGTGTAGGAGAGATGTAGAAATCTACAATTTATAGAAGGAGGGGAAAAATCTAATAAATAGAGAAGCAGGTATCCCTAGGTGTAAACAGCTGGATGTGGGTTCCTTCCTTATTCTTGTTTCAGGTATGTTTTTGGAGTTGCAATGGCTTCAGTGGCCACAAGGGGAGATGTGTTTTGGGGGAAAGGGGGTGGAAAGCGCCCCTGCTGACTCCCCATTAATACAAACACAAAATCTGTGGAATGGGATCCCAATAATTCTATGAAATTAAGCACTTGTCTATTTTTATACACATTAATCAATTTCCTAATAAGGTATGATATATACAGAAATGTGTACAAATGACAAGTTGTTTTACAAAACTACAATAAACACTAACAGGTAATATGACAGAACTACAGTAAACCCAACGAAGATCCCGAGTATACATTCATTTTGTTTAACTTCTTCAGGAATGCTGTTATAAAGAAAAATGTAGAAAACAAGAATGTATCAAAATGGATAATGATGATGCTGATGATAAATTGGACTCTAAATAAATAATAAATACAATCTATTGTGCTCAGTCATTTGTCTCTTCCAACAATTTGTGTATCAACAATTTTAAGTTCTATGGAAAAGAAAATATATTGCTTTATAAAAATAATTACTTTAACGGTGGCTCAAGTGGTTAAGACGCTGAACTGCAGGCTGTGGAAGGTCAGTAGTTCAGCAGTTCGAGACCCAGGTGCCGCATGACGGAGTGAGCTCCCATCCCTAGTTCCAGCTCCTGCCAACCTAGCAGTTCGAAAGCAAGAAATTGCAAGTAGATAAATAGGGACCACTTCGGTGGGAAGGGAACAGCGTTCTGTGCGCCTTTGTGTTTAGTCATGCCGGCCACATGACCACAGAAATGTCTTCGAACAGCGCTGGCTCTTCAGCTTGGAAATGGAGATGAGCACCGCAACCCTAGAGTTGGATTCGACTGGCTTTCGCGCAAGGGGAACCTTTACCTTTTACCTTTTAACTTCATAATGCATAGTAAATAAATAATTGATTAATAAATCCCATATGTTGTGTTCAGTCCTTTGTCTCATCCAATCATTTTGTGTATCAACAAAATTCAGGCCGATTGCTAGAGCGTCGGCCAGCGACGTGCCCAACGTGATGACATCACTTCCGGGTGACGTCATTGAGCCGGGCACGTCAGCCCGAAACGGGCACTTTGGGGGCAGGGTTCCCCCCACCGGCCTGATCCAGACTGGCAGGTTGGGGGCCCTTTCAACTGTCGTGATTCACTTACTATGGTAAGGCTGGCCTAGATGAGTTTAATCTAGAGTGTCAGTGAAGTGACAGCTAGGAACAGCATGTGACTGCTAGGAGGCTGGCCAGAACTGGTTTAAGGCAGTGCAGCCTGGCACTAAGTGTAATGCAAGAGGTTGCATCAGCTATGTGCTGATTGGCCAGCAGTTGTATATATGTACAGAGTGTACAGTGTCTTTTTTCCTTCCAATGTATCATTTGCAGCGGAGCACTTTGACACACAGAACTGTATATAGGTGGTGGCTGGGTGAGAATAAACTCACAGTGGTTGCACCTAAGTTCCTGACTCCAGTCTTCATTGGGTACTCTATCTCCTTTGGGCACTAACGTGCCAGCCAGCATTCCGCGGGAACGCGACATCAACGGAACCCCCCCCCGGGGGGGGACTTAGAAACCCTAATCCTGTACCATCTGGAGTTTCTGACTTTCAGGGCAGACCCGTGTGGAGCGTGTTACAGTAGTCCAGCCACACGGTTACTATGGCATGGATCCATGTGGCAACATCAGCAGGTCAAGGTCAGGAGGCATCCTGCATTCATGAAAGCAGGGGTCATTTCCTGCAGGAGCGCACAGGAGCGGAGCTCCGGCAGTAAAGAGCCCAGGGGGCGGGCACATGCAACAAGCCCCACCCCCTGCTCCCAGCAGCCCCCGGCCATGAGGAGCAAGAAGCCCCTTCCTTCCTTCCCTCCCTCCTTCTTTCCTTTTTCCCCGCCTTCCTTCTTGCACAGATCTGTGCATCCCTCCCCCCCAGCTAGCAATCCAAAACAGGCCAGTGGCACCTTTAAGGCCAAGTTTTATTCAGGTACAAGCTCTCCCTCCTCTGCGAGGACAGATCTGCACATTCTCCACCCCCCCCCAGCTAGCAATCCAAAACAGTCTAGTGGAGCCTGAGCAGTGGGTGTTGCCTTCTGACACACTTCCAGTGATGTCACGGTGTGTGGCATATGCAAATAAGTTATGCTAATGAGTTATGCTAATGAACTCCTGCACCTCATTTTCTACAAAATGACCACTGCATGAAAGCATGGCAAAATATAGATCAGCAGAATAAGAGATCGTCCATTGCTTCAGCGCCAGAGTCCTGTGACAGGCCAGTGATGTGATGGGTTGCTACGAGCGAGGAGGGCTTCTCCCCCCACCTCCACAGACAGACCTTCCCCACTTGGTAGCCCTTGGTCCCTCGGCCATGAGGAAGAGGCCACAGTCCCCCGGCCACTTGTGTTTTTGCTTATGCCTGGGACCCAGTGCCCATTTCAGACCAAAAATGACCAGGAGGAGGTTGTCAGCTAGCTGTGTAGTCTCCCCTTCCCTGTTCCCGCTTGCTTGCCGCTCAGCAGCTTGCCGTAAACATGCCAGGGAGACCGTGGGAGCTAGACGCCGTTATCAGTCTGGCCTTGTGAAGTAGGGAGGGCTTGGGGTCCACATTTGGTGTGAATTTTTTGCTCTCAGGAAACCCTGCGACTCTCCCGCTCATTATGTAATCTCCCGCCAGGAGTCTTCCCGCACGCACGTGCTCGAAGTTCATTTGCTTAGCTAATTGCCTTGCCCAGCTATATGTATTGGGATCAGGGCTCTTTTTGTAGAAAAAGCCCAGCAGGAACTCATTAGCATAATAGGCCACACCCAACAGCAGAAACTCATTAGCAAATTAGGCCACACCCCTGACAGCACAGCTCATTAGCCCATTAGGCCGCACCCCCATGTTACCAAAAGTGTGGTCATCCAGCCACACCCACCTTTCGCTTCTTATCAGGGCTCTAGTCGGGGGGGAGCTCTCAGGTACGGAGCTCCGGAAGAGAACCTCTAGGGGGCGGGGCGGTCACGTGGTGAAGCCCCGCCCCCTTCTTTACCCCGCCCTCTGCTTCGATCCTCATTCCGTTTGGGAATGAGGATGAAGCAGGAGGGTAAGTAGCCGGGCCTTCT